TCTTCCCCACAGTGCTTGGTGCCCATGTCAAGTGGGGTAACAACTGGGGACCAAATGTGTTGCTGCACCTCATTACTGGGAGAGAGGTGTGGAGAGAAAGCTGTAATTGCATTTAACATAACCCCTGTGCTCTCAAATCTACCAAATGTAAGATGGCTGTTTGCCCTTCACAACTTTATTTTTTTTTATTAGAAGACAGAGGCATATTAGTTAAAATAATGAATGGCTTCTTTGCTTACTGTAGGTATTGATTGCTTTCACTTTGTGACAGGTCTGAAATGCACATACTTGAGAAAATCCGAGAAGACTTTATGCACTTGACAGGCTTGACTGAATTGCAAAGGTCTAAGAATTTGTTCAGGAAATTGGTTCAGCTTGACACTCATTGAAAAGAGCTGCTCTTTTCATTCATGTATACAGGGCAGGATTATTAACTGAAAAACAATATCAACAACAGAAATGCAGGGGGGGATTTGTGTGAGATAGTCCTGTTTTCCTGCAAGATGGGGCAGAAGCAGAAGTGTGAATAAACTACGTAGAAAGGCATGTTGAACACAGTCTGGTAATCAGTTCTGTTATATCTGACACTTGTCTTGTGAGTAGCGCTGAAAGTCAAGTGCCTGCAATCAGCAGAGAAGTGTAGATGCATTTCCATTATAAATTAAGTAGTCTAATTGTATTTGGTTGACTTTGTTTTGGTATTTGAAACTTACTAGACTATTTCCTGGCAAGCAGAAGTATTGTGTGATGTTTTTAAATGTGCACATATTTTTTAAGTTATGTGAGTGCAGGTGTGACTCTGATAGGACCTGATAGTCCAGGCAAACCCATGTTAACCTCTTCACCTTCTTCTTAAGATTTTAATCTTTTTTTTAAAAAAAGGAAAAAATAATTCTGGGGAGGGTATGCCCACTGGGGCAATTCCAGTCGAGCTGTCTTACTTGCTTTTTCCCTTTCTCATAAGTTTTCTTTTGTTTCCTGACCATGTCAATCTCCTGGAAATTCTTCTAGCCACCTCTGCATTTGGTGTTGCCCTTTTGCCTTCTTAGTACACATTGGAAGAGCTAATTATATGAACAGTGTTTGTAGACCATAATGATGACAAGGTTTAGCAATAACAAAATTCCTTAGAGGAAAGATTATTAACCTGACTATACTAGAGGTCAACTGACAAGCCCTGCTTACTTTATGCATATGGGTGTTGGATTTTGTTGTTGTTTTTGGTTTTGGCTGTTTGTTTTACTACAGGCCAAGATGCTAATTTTTGCTTGTTTTTTCATGAGGGGTTGTGGTCATTTGCAAAATCTTGTTTATACTGTGTTGGAAAATTAATAATTTATTTTTAATTACTATATCTTCTTTATTTCAGCAGAAACCTTTTTAGAGATTAAAGTATAATTGGATCAATTAGATCAAATTTTGTGCATTCTCTCATCCATGAAATTAGTAACATTAGGTGAGATGCAGTAGGTACCTGGTAAGGGACCTGATACTATCTCCAGGTGAAGTTTACAAGTAATAAGAAATGCATGGGAGTATCTGACAGTGACATTAAGCTTCCTTTAATAAAGCCTATGACATCAATAAAATATTGAGAAGGACAGAAATATACCAGGGAAATCACCATGCTTCTTAAAATGTCCTAAAATACATAAGTCCTCTATATATGAATACATGAATCTGACTATAAAGGATTTAAGAGTTAGTTCTTTAGATCATGCTGTTTTACACTTAGTATGCTATGTAGCACGATACAGAGGTGTTATTAATACAAAGGAATCTTTTTTTTGCTCCAGGAGGGGAAAGAAGGATTGGAAGAGAAGCCAATGATTTCATTAGCAACTTTACTATTCAGCTCTCTGACGGGCATTCTACATCTACTTGTCATTCAAATAAATCTCAAAGATGAATGGATAATTCATTCATTAAATGGCACCAGGAGGAAGTCGCCTTATTCAAATAATCTGACTGAAGTGTCAGTTTGACAAAAATCCCAGTTTTGAGTGGTGCTTAGATTTTTGTGTGTGTGTTTGTTACTGCAGAGTCGTTCACCCTTGGGGACAAAGGATACAAAGGAAATATTAATGTAAGGTACTGAAGCTTCTGAGGCTACTGAGGCAATTTGGTGCTTTGTGGCAACACGCCTGCTTGTTGTGTTACAAAAGAAAGATGGAATATGTGTTGGTGACTTGACATTAATAATCCCAGTAAATCCTGGCATCTCTTGGAAAATTTGCGATAGATATGCCAAGGCCAGTTATCTTTGCTGTGTGTTAAGGGTATTGCATTTAGCCTCCTCATGGAAGAATGTGAAAACTGTAGGAAGGGCTTCTCTGATTGTTGTGGGTATTGATTCACTTAAATTCAGCTTCCAGAAAGTTTTAATTACTCTGCTTTTGAAATCTGCATCTTACCTGTTGCTGCTGGGACTGTGGGGTTCGTTAGTGTGTTTGGGACTAAAATTGCATATGCTCCATTTTTAGACTCTGAGCTCATTATTGTTTTTGGTGAATAACATGTAGAACAAACAAAGTGTGCCTTCAAAGTGTTTTTCCTTGAGCTTCTAATGTAAATTTAAGAGTATATCCTCTTCTACCAGAACGTGGTTAAGGTTGTGTCATTACTCAGCCTTGAAGATGAAGCAGCTTTCCCCAGCTGGCAAAATGAAGATTTCACACTTGTTTCTAACTCTGAATCATCCTCAGGCATTGCACCTTAAAACTGAAAACCTATTGTACATGTACAAGATTTTAGTTTCTGTTTATAGAAATCCAACGGTTGCTATTTTTTTCTCTCTCAAGGGTTGGCTTTTCAGGTAGGAAGGTAAAGAATGCTGTAGGAAAACATCTACTTATATGTGAAATGTTTATAAATTACTTTTCTCCTGGTAGTTAGTATGAATACCTACAAAATATAGTGTGACAAAATAGGGATTTTTATGCAGTAGAAAGGAAAATATTTTTACTTGATTTTAATGAACTGTTCAGAATGCTCTTCTCAATATTTGACCAATGCAGCTGTGTAAACTTCCCAAATGAATATGAGTCCTAAGATAATGCATCAGCTCTTTTAATAATTCAAGCATAGTAAAAGTTTGATATATCAGCAAAATACCTTTCTCACTCGTGGGACCTGAGGGAAAGGGGAGGTTGGTTTTTGCTAGAGGATGGATGCTCCATGGTATTTCTGATTTGCCCATACTCTTCAGTTTTGGCATCATCGCTGAAATAAGTGGGCTACATTGATTATCCAGAAGTTCTAGATTGAAGTTTTTGGGCATGTTGGTTCTGTCTGGTTTGCGTGTGGCCTTTGGATAGTGTTCTATGTTATTGAAGTCACCCAGAGAAATGAAGATTTGGGGACAACAAAGTAGTGTAAATAAGAGAAGGTCACATTGTAAAGCAGTTGGTCTGGGAGTCTGACTCTATGGTATACAGTGTCTAGATGGCTGACAACAGCAGAGTTTTCTTTTGGTGACAGCAGAAACAGCAAATTACGTATTTTCATTGCATCAGATGGGAGTGTGAGTGAAAAGAGCACATCTGGTACTGATGTGCAGACACCAGGGATTTTGCAAAGTAAAGTCCTTCATCTGATCATTTAAACTTGTCCCTTCAGTTTGAAATGGGTTGTTTTAGACAGCTATTTGTCAATTACATTTGAAAGCTGAATTAATCTATATAACAAAATTTGAGGCAGCTAAATGTAAAACATTATACCAATGTAAAGATACCATTACTAAAATTACCTTTAGAAGGGGACAGTGGCATGACTGAGACCTCTTTCCTTGCCTTGTAGAAGGATGGAGAAGGGGCTACACAGGAATAACTCCTGGTGATTGTTTGCTGAGTGTAAGTGAGCCATATTCAGCCCTGTGCAGCTCACTAAGGGAATAGTGGCATGCAGTGAGATACCTGTTCTTCTTCGCTGAGATCAGAGGGGTGGCCAGGAGGAAATCTGAGGGGAAGTAGTAAGGGTTGTGCTGTCTGCAGAGCTCAGATAATTGTTGTCTGTTATGTAAATTGCCCGCCTTTGGTTTTAACAACAAAAAAAGTATACTGTTCTTCCAGCTTAATGAATGACCATAACTCACATAAGCAGCATTGCATGTTAAGAAATGAAAGTGAATGCTTTGCAGTATTACCAAAATAATGCATCATGTTCAGCATCTTCTGAATATGAAAGGGAGGGGAAGCCTCAAAATCTGTCTCATTTCTACTCATCTGAAGTAAATATCTTATATATTTGGGGTACAAGATTTGCTCTCTTTGTGCTTTCACATTAAATGCTTACTTCCTGTCTAAAAATATACAGAACTTCAGTGATGTTTTCTTAAATCTTATAGCTTAATTAAGACGGTATCAGAAAACAGTACTACAAGTCAGGAGGTGCTTTTATCTTTTAGAATGTAGTGTCTAAGTCTGGTAGTTCTTCTAGTTTTCATTGGATTTTTTTACTTCCCCCATGAATTTTTATTTTGCTTTCATTGTCCACTGATCACAAGTGTTTCCTTAGAATAGAAATGTCTGTTGATATGTCAACTTCGGACTGTGTTATTAAGATAAAATTCGATGTCACAGCCGCAGGTTCACAGCAAGGTCTTGTTTAAAACAGATAGCGATACTTGCTTGCTTAAGACAAGGCTCAGGTAGTAAATAGATAAGCTAGCTGTATTGCATCACTCTAATTATGATGTTATCTACAAAATCAAACTCCTCAGAGTTACAGCTACATGACAAAAGCACATTTGATAATTTTCCTGTTGATCCAAAATGGCTCCAGAGGTGCTGACTTACACAAGTAAAGGGTTGTGACTATAGCTTTGAACATAACTATGTACAATTTATTCTTGCGTTACAGTGCATTTTAGACTATTCTTGTTTTTAAGATATTTTTTGTGATTTGTAACATTTGGAAATTGCTAGTTAGATAAGAAGGATAAATACAAAACCTCATCTGTATTTATAACTCTTTTTATTTTTTTTTTTTTTTCTAAACAGGAATGAAAATCTGCACAGGTGCTCTCAGTGCAAGGTTGCTAAATACTGTGGTAGATCTTGTCAGGTAAGATTAAAATAACAGCTATAAAGGGTTTAAGAAAATAGGCATTTCAATACTTTTTTTACAGTCTCCATATGTTTTGCATGTTGTCATACCTCCACACTGTAATTATTTGTAGTTTTGGACAAGATGGGTAAACATGCTAAATAAAACATGCTGTGCTTGTTTTATTTAAGTATTTTTAAAGCTACAAATGTGAGATTCTGATGAGTACAAAAGACAAAAATAAGTTGAAATGTGTAGTGTTTGATTGTACTTGGTGAGAGGGGGAGGAATAATTTCTGAGCTTGTCTGTAGACTGAAAGCTCTAAGTCAATTTTGCAGTAAAATAATTAGTATTTCAGGAGTACTGTTTATAATGGTAAATTCTATATTCCAGTTTTTTTTAAGAGGAAATAAGGGTCAAGAATTGGTTGAGAAGAGAAGGTGTAAAGGAAAACTGCATCTCAGGAGTTTTCCAAGGAGAAAAGTGGTGCATGGCATGAGGACAAGGGACAGCAGGCTTAAGTAGACAGACCAGAGGTTCACATGGGATACAAGGAAAAGCTCTTGACAGTCAAGAGGTGGGACAGGCTGGCCAGGGTGTTTGTGTGATCTCTGTGTTTGAGGATTTGGAGACTCTGCTGGATAAAGCTCTGAACTGGGTCTGACCCCAGAACTGACCCTGCTTTGTAACTAGAGATCTCCATAGATCCATACAGCCTGACTTAACCTGTGATTCTATCCTATGAAATACTTCTCAAAGGTAAAAAGTTCTCAAAAGCCTAAAATCTCAGCTTTTATATTTGACTTGATATAGGATTGCCTTGTAGAACACTTGAAGTTTTAAATAGTTCCTCATAGTTTTGCACTGTGATTTTTTTTTTTTTTTTTTTTTTTTTTTTTTTTTTTTTGGTGGGAGGTTGAGGGTTGGTAGTGGTTGGTTTTTTGGGGGGTATGTATGTGTAATTTTTTTTTCTTTTCCTAAATAGAGAAAAATGAAAAAAAAGCAGCTACTGGTCAAAGTAGATTAGCAGTAACACTCTATAATTTTTTAAATTAAGTCTTTGACATTCCAAAGATCATAGAATGAAAGCATCATAGAATGGTTTGTGTGGGAAGGGACCTTAGAGATCATCTAGTTTCATGGGCAGATGCCTTCCACTAGATCAGGTTGCTCAAAGCATTGCTCAAAGCATGCCATTCAACTTGGCATCAAACACTTCCAGGGATGCAGCATCCACAGCTTCTTTGGACAACCTGTTCTAATGCCTCACCACCTTCACAATAAAGAAGTTCTTCCTAATGTCTAAGCTAAGTATATTCTCAATTTGAAGCCATTCCCCCTTGTCCTTCCACTACATGTCCTTGTAAACAGTCCCTCTCCAGCTCTTTAGTAGGACCCCCTTTAGGTACTGGAAAGCTGCTGCAAGGTCTCTCATCCTGTTTCCATAGGAGTGGTGGTCCAGCTCTCCGGTCATCTTTGTGGCCCTCCTCTGGACTCGCTCCATCTTCTTGTGTTGGGAGCCCCAGAGCTGGAGGCAGGACTCCAGCTGGGGTCTCACCAGAGTGGAGCAGAGGGGCAGAATCCCTTGCCCTGCTTTGGATGCACCCCAGGACATGTTTGGCTCTCGGGGCTGAGAGTGCCCATTGCTGAGTTGGGCTTCTTGTCAATCAGCACCCCCAAGTCTTTCTCCTCAGGGCTGATCTTGTTATATATCATGTGCTTCTGTAAACAATTCTGCTTTAATATAATCTGTAGTGTTCTCAAGATCCCACAAATCCCTCCTTTTGGGGATTAAAACATATGGAGAGGGAAAAGAGGAAGATCTGTCATTTTGATTCATTGTATGGCTAATGTGTGCAATGTACATTAGGTGCTTACTGTAGCATCAATAATAATGCCACAGGTAGATTGATGGGAGATCATAAGGAAAACATGGCCATAAAGTCTATAAAATCTGTAGTATTTGCAAGGTAAGTTTAAAACGTCTTCTAAGAGAGTAATTGGTAAAGCTTCCGTTGGCAGGTCTCTAATATGAAATGAGACTGTTGGCACTGACCTGCAAAAGCAAATCTGCAAGGTATAATGCAGTAACCTGTTCAACTTAGATATAGAGGCTATGGAAATAGGAATTGGAGCTTCCTCTTTGCTTCTGCACAACTGTGTGAACATTCTTCAAGGATTCTTAAGGGATAGCCCGAAGCCATCTTGAATGTCTTTGATTTTTGCTTCCAGCTCTGGGGTTCACATGCTTGAAGCCATCCATAGTTGTAGGTAGGGATTTCAGTGAGACAAGCTGCTGCTGCTAAAAGTAATCTGCACTTAACATACTGTGTATTTGCAATTACATAATTTCTTGAACTGTTTATGTAAATAAATTATTATTGAATTAATATATGTAATATCCTGTGATATTAGGAAGCGATAGAGAGTAACAGGAAAAAATAAGTTATTTTGTAGTCAAAGCAGTGAATTTATTGAGATTGATGACTTGAAACAGGTGACACAGATAAAACTGAGACTAACCAGATCTCTCTGTTCTTGAGAACTGTCCTCGTATTCATATTTGTTCTAATAAGCCAGCTAAACCATTGTGCTGCTCTAGTTTTATAGCAGCTGTTAGGAAAGCTAAACCAAATGCTTTGTGCCCTACTTAGTCTTTGTAATTCAAGTGCAGCTCATTAATATGTGCACTTCTAATTGAACTAATTGGTCAACAAATAAACAGCAGGGTATCGATGAAACTGCATTTTGCACATTTAAAAAAGTGAATATTGGCAAAACAGGACTATTTTAGTTTTATGAATACAGATAACTTTGAAGTACAAATTATGCAGTTGAATTTGCAGTTCACACTTAGTTGCAGAATGATTTGATTATTTTTGAATGTGTGATACTGTAAATCAAAACACTTAGGCTTAAAACCTGTAATTTTTCTGGAGTTTTTTTATTAATACATTATATGAAAACAGAATTAATATAAAAATATGACTTCAAAAACTTTAATCTCAGTATGTGTATTGGGTCTAGAATAAAGGAGCCATTTTTAAAGCTGCAAATATCTTATAAACATCTTCATTTGTTTTAAAATGTCAAGTGGTACAAAAGGCTATCTTCAGGATAACCTTAAGGAGAAGTAATTGTTTTTGGAAATGTCTCTCTTTTTGGAACTTGAAGTAAGAATAGTTATCTTTTAAGGGAATATGTATGCACAGCTGGTAGTCCTGAAAAAAACCTATATACAAATCAGAATTCCCATTTTTTAACAAGTCTCATAATGTCTATATTAAAGATTATGAGTGAGTTGTTCCAAATTAAGAAAATCTCCCATTATTTTTTCAGGCCAGTTAAAGCAAGCTGTTTCCGCTTTTACCACTTTAGTTTAAAAATATTAGAAATGTGAAACTGGAACATATCACAAGAGATCATTTGGGCTGACCTTTTGTGACTGAATTCTGATTTTCAGGATCAAGTACATAGAGATTTTTTTTTTTTTTTCACTCAGACCTCATTGGTTTTTGCCCCTATTTGGCATTTCCTTGGTGTAGCCCCTTTTCCACTTGTTGATGCCTAGTTTCATGGACTGCCTGCCTTCTAGCAATGTTATGTTGTCTGGGTGTCTCTCCAAAGGTAGGGTTGTCACATCTGCTGCTCCTCCTCATAATCACTGTTGTGATCACCCCTGGCAATGTTTTTTAATATGGTGTATCCCACAGATTGGGGACCAATAATATACATGATAATCCCTGAAAAACGGAAGATTAATTTCGGGCAGAATCCAGAATGTGGTATTATCAAATATTATTGAAAAAATGTAATAAAAGTAAAATGTCACAATTAAAAAAAGACGTCCTGTGAAAATTCAAACAGTCCTTTGGAAATTACAAATTATTTGCTTTTAACAGATCAAAACCTTCCAATGCGAAAATATCCCATGTTTTTTTTTTTGGTTTTTTTTTTGGTTAATCAGCTCTAGTCTTTAAAAGCTTTTTATTAGCACATTAATCTGAAGGAAGTGTTCATTTTTTCTAATCTTCCATAGAAGACAAGGGAAACCTTTGATTAATCAACATTACTTTAGGATCTTTTGTAGATTCAAGCTCCAAAGGGAGACAGCAATAGCATATGTCTGTGAAGGAATGGATGTGCATTGGAAAGATCACTCTGCTGAAAATATGCAAGACTTGCAGGAATTTGTGAGGGGTCTTTGCCCATGACCTGAGCCAGCAGGAGGTGATCCTGGCTTGTGCAGGGAGGTGTTGGAGTTGGTCTGGTGCTGGTTCAGCAGGCAGACTCTCAAGCTGCCACCAGTAAAGAGCTCTGTGCTTCAAAATTGGAAGACCTTCCCTGGCATGGAGAAGGGTCATACCAGGTGGCCAGATCTCTGCACTGCAGTGTTTATACTCGTGCTGGATATAGGATATAAAAACCTTGACTGAAAGCCAGGATACACAGAATTAAGAAAACCCTTCCACCAGGAAATGTGATACTAACATAAGTCCAACCAATAAGTATTTTTAGAGACTGACTTTAAAAGTAGGCCTCTCCAGGGTCACAAATCTTTTTTTCATATTGTCCTGTAATTTGTATCCATGTTGTATGAATAGTAAGAAGAAATATTGTTGAATTTCATTATATTTAATGAATTTGGAGCTTTCCTCTCTCTCCCTGACCATTTGGGAATAAATGACCAGCAATCCCCATTCTATTCTAGCTCCTTCTGCAGAGGAATCAGAGTGATTCCTTTTTAGCATCTGTTTTGGCCAGAGTGCTATTTCACAAAAGGCGTGTGTTTGAACTATTCTTATAACGTGGGAATGCTCTCAAAGAAATGTGGCATATGATGCTATGTGGTCCAGAATATTTAATCTCATTCGAGCTGTATTGGTTGGGTAAGTTATTTATCATTTGGATGTCACCTCTAGCATGTTTAAAATTCTGTGCAACATTTATGTAGAGGAAAAAATTTGACAGTAAAGGCTTTCTCCGAGAACATTTTTAGTTTAAGTTGGATAAAAATGCCAATATAATTTTATTACACAGAATGATGTCTGGACATTTACAAGCATGACTTTGGTTTTTCTAGACAAGGATAATTTTATTCAGCACTAAATACTTAACCTTTATTTGCCAGACAGCATGTGAAACTAACTGTATTTGGATTAATGCCTTCTTGGTGTCATTTTTTGCCTTGTAGAATTATGGGTAAAAGAAATGAAATCACAAATCTCTCATGTATCTGAAAGAAATAAAAAGTTCCATTTATTTATAATGTGTAAGCCACAGGGGAAAAAATCCTGAATTAAATATAATAAATGCTACTGGTGCTGAAACCTAGTTACCTGAAACAATTCCCTCACTTAAATGCAGCTTAGGAAAAAATTGTGTGATAGCCTTCGGAATCTTTATATCTCACACGTCAGCATCTCCAGGTCTGATGTGCCCTTCCACATAGCTCTGCATTTTATCTTTTTTTTTAATTGCTGAACATGTACTTAACATTAGACAATAATTTTCTCTGTGGCATTCACCTAACAGAAACTGGTTTTCTGGGTTCATGTTTTTTTTCCCTTACTGTGTATTTGCAAGAAAATGTCACCTTCAGAAGCCCTTGGTTGTGAGTACTTGTCATTGTAGGAAATTTTTGTTGTGCCTTGTTCTTTTAATTTGCTTTTAAAAATATTCGAAACAGCTGTCTGGCTTTGAACATGAACTGTGACTATGCAAATAAAATGTGTAAATATGTAGTATATTTGACTTTCTGTATATTATAAACATAATTTTCTACTTGTAGAGACAGAAGAAAGGAAAAAAAAAGTGATCAGAAGTTTTCTTCCAACACATTTCTTTAGCTGAATACTCCTTCTTGCTGCTCTTCTGCACTAATCTTGGTGCAATAATGAATGGTAGAGGAAAAAAGGAGACATATTTCAATGTTTCCTTTATCTTGTCATCGTGATTCTTCTCTGCTATGGAAGTGTTAGTCAGTCTCAGCTCTTCTAATCAATGTGGCCTGTGAAACAAAAATTGGAGATTTGGGCAATATATGTAACTAAAATATTTTTGGTTCTGTCTTCTGTTTTGGTATATCACTACCAGTCCTCCCAGCCGTGGGCATTGATATCACATTAGCTTAGGGATATTTGGTGACAGTTTTTGCAGCACTGAAAACTTGACCATTGCATTAGAGCAGCTGCATTTAGTGCAGTGAATGGACTCTGAAAGCCTCTGCAATCATGATTGCTGAATGAACATGTGCCTAGAGTTTTGTATATGTTAGATAGCATCTTTTCTAGCTTTCTCCAATCTTGTGATGTAAGCAGCTACATACTGTGCTGCTTCATGCCACAACAAATGAGAATTAGTGCATATTGCTTTGAGCATATTTGTGTGCATATATAAATATAGATAACTATATGTATAAAAGTATGTGTGTACGTATAAAAAAATAGGATACAGGTTATCTAAAATAAAATGCACTTAATTTTCTTTTTCTTCCTTTTTAAAATGTCCTGATAGAAAGAAGCTTGGCTGGACCACAAGCAAGAATGCAAGTGTCTTAAGAGCATCGAGCCAAATTTTCCTCCAGACTCTGTCAGACTTGCTGGAAGGATTGTTTTTAAACTAGTAAGTGATGTTCTTTTAGATTTATTCAGTGCAGCAAATTCTGATAAATGCTTTCTCACTCTACATTTCTAATGCAATTACGAACTACAAGGCTCAAGTGACTGGGAGTGCTGAAAAAAATTAAACTGCAAATTGCATTACAAGTTTTCTGATTAATTTGCGGAAATGCTGAAGGGATCAAGAGGTTCCAAAACAGACATAACTAAGCTTGATGGACGTGTTTATTGACTTTCTTTTCCTATGGTTATGTGGTAGCATTCTAAGCTTATTCCTACCTGGAAGAAAAACAGGGGAGACACTGTTTCCCCTTCAATACTACTGAAGTTATTAGTGCTTTTCTGTTAACCTAATGGAAGCCTGTTAGAATGAGGTGGTAAGGGGAGAAGCACTTTCTTTAGATGGCATAATGTCATGCTTTCCATGTTGGATTCTCTTAATCTCAATTACCTTTGTAAATGTTTTTCTAAACTTTCTTAGAAGTCCTGGGTGTTTGCCATTCCCACGGTTTCATTACTTTATATGGACAAAATTTTCTGATAATTTAAGCAGCTTATAAATGTGTGGGATTGTAAATCAAATTTTTTTGCTGAGCCTGCTATGATGTTGTCTGTGTTGGATAAAAGTGCGGGCCTTTGTTGTGGTCTGAGGTGATATAATATGATTTCACATTTATTTTATACATTGTTGCAAAGAGTTTGTGCATGGTAGTTTTTAAAGGGCAAATATGTACCTAGAAATACTATGCATTAATTATAGTCAAATGAACTCTGAAGCTACAAACCTCATAATTGGATTTCTATTATGCTTTAAAGGGCTAAAGTAAGTTACTAAAGGTAAGGTACCAAAGTGTTAAAAAGAATTTCAAAATTAGTAGAAAGTCTTATAACAACAAAGAAATTCAGTTTTTTAGGATAGTTTATACAAAGTCCTGGATTTATGTTGATGCTGTTGGCTGTACCTGATTATCTTTCATGTTTATCACATGGAATAATCAGTCTTGTAGAGTGCTTGCAAGATAAAACATGCTATGTGAGTGTTAATTATCTGATTTTCCTCTACAGCTCAGACAATCAGTATGCCCTTCTGAGAGACTCTACTCTTTTTCCGATCTTCATTCAAGTAAGTAATTGCCATCCAGATTTCAGGAAATACTTCCAAGGTCTGCTTTTTGAAAGGGCCATCTGATTTTCATGCAGCTTGCCTTCTGAAGGTTCACTCTGTGGACTAACAGAATCAAAGACAAAAACCTCTGTGGGAAAGAACAGTTATTTCAAAGATAAAAGGAAAAACATGCCTGTTGTCTTGAAGCAAAACATTCCTGATTTTTTTGCTTTAGTATTTTTATTTTTGCATTTTACAATGAACATCTTGCCTGTTCATTTAACGTACCCACTGTCTGCCTTACTACATACAGTGTCAATATTTCTACATACATAGACAATAGTACATGTATTTTAACACTGAGGTTTTACTTTTTAATTACTTATGTGCTATTGCATACAACTTCAAAATAACCTCCAGAAATAGGAAAGAAAGTTAAATTTAAAAGGGATATATGTATATTTTTCTTCTAGGTGACCTTTCAATAGAGAAAAAAGATGAAATTGTGCAGTTGCTACTTCTGTGGCTTCACAAGTTTCAAGTTATTGGGTAGAAAAAGATGCTCATTATAATCTCTCAGCAGAGCAGAGAGCAGAGTTGAAGTAGAAAAACATTTTTTTCATATTTTGTGATATCTTGAAGACTTAGGAAGAAATACATCCTTGGTTCATTTTTACATCTTGTTTAGAGGGATTTTCTTGAGAGTAATGTGAATATTTTGATTACCTCAATGTTTTTTAGCATTATTCAGAGTTTTGGCTACAGAGCAGCTTGATCAATTGGTATAGTTAGAAATAAAACCTATATAAACATTAAAAAATGCAACACATAGTATTAATTTCACTTCCAAATACCCTGACATTTTGCTGCCTTATCCCAAACTGCAAGGGCAAAAGACCTTAACAAGGCAGCAAATTAAAATGGATAGAGTTCAGTTATTTAAAACATAGTGGTTTTCTGCAATGGATATTCTCAATTCACGTAACAAAGGAATATAGAAAACAGATGCTTCAAATTAAATTAAAGTTATTTAGACTGTGGACTTTTATAGTTCATGACACTGCTGGGATCCAAGGAAAGAGTCTTTATTATACCAATGGCTGATTGCAGAGTGGTGCAGGAGGAACTGGACTGGAAGAGTCTCCCTTTAAAAATTAAATATTGATCACTTTTACAGCAATTGTCTCTAGTGTAGGCAAAGATTGTTTTGTAACTGATTGTTCCATACAAACTGGTTTCTCAGTACCCTTCAGGAGATGATCCCAGCTTTCCTTGACTTGACTGGAGAGAAGGGGAATTGTGTGATAAATTGTCTGGAGAGAAGCTTGGTGTTGAACAGGCCTGAGCTGCAAGGGATGAATGGTACAAAAGTCTGTAGAGTGGCCAGAAGCTTCTGCTAAAATAGTAATTCTGAAGGAAATGATGATTTGGCCTGTGATACAGATGGGATGACTGTCCTCTCACTGATACAGAAATAACTGGTACATAGACAGTTAGTTTAGGAGAAGACAAATGAGAGATCCACATGGAGTGTTTAATCTGTACTTACTGAGTCTTAATAACAATTCCAGTGGCATATTCTTAACTCGACAGCACCAAGTGTTTAGGACATTAACACGTTCACTGAGCTTGATACTTCAGGCTACAGTACAAATGGCCTATGCATCATCTTATGTAAAGGTTTTGGCTGGCTCTTTACTTGTGTTGTTTTCCTGGCTTCCTTGTTAGAGTGAACAGATGGAGTTAAAATACTCCAAAAGTATTTTGGGTTGGTGTGAGAACTTGTAGTAGCTGTGATGTTTTTTGCTGCCTCTGTATGCACCAGTTATTTCATAACAATTTCCCCGTTTGCTGCATAATTTATGAATGGTGTTGATAAAGCTTTTGTTTCTTTGTATACTTAGTGGAATCTATAGGAAAATCCGAAATGCATTTTCGTTAGAGGCCTAAGTATATAAGAGAAAAGATTTCTCTGAACAGAATCACATAAACTATGAATACAGGCAGCAATCTGAAACATAAATATTCTCAGGAAGCATCTTTGTAATAGAAGATAATGCTTCAACAGTAATTAGAAATGTGACACAATTCTCATTGATACAATTTAATCTTTTTTTTTTGTTGTTGTTTTTCCACCCACTTGTAATTCAAAAATATTTTCTTTTTGAAAATTGTTATTGACACTATGCTGTCTCATTTTGCTTTACACTATTACTTCTCAACATTAGTTTATACTTTTGGTTGATTTTTAGTGTGGGAGACATATCAACTGAATAGAAGACTAAAAAGTTTTATACAGTTTTTGAATAATTATCTAAAACCAATAATACATGAAAAACCACAAAGCATGTGGAGGCATCTAGCTCTTTATGAAGTTCTTTTCCAATCTCCATAATTCCTTGAAATTCCTTTATATGTCCTGAAACTCAGATTAAGTAGGAGGGGTCTCTCTGAGCATTGTTACTTTTGCTAGCTCTCATTTATTTTAAGACAATTTCTTCCTTAGTTCTCTGGGCCCTCTGTATGTTACAGCAATTCAGAAATCATCTTTGTTTTTAGTTACCAAGACTCAGTATTCAGAAATTAGTTTGTGTGCTATATTATGGGGCAGATATTTTGCTACTTTACTTGTATAAGAATCAGGGTTACATAACTAAATCCCCATGTCTTATTTAGAATTTTTTTCATAGGCTTTTTGTTGCATTTTGTCTCCCACATCAGGTTTATTAAACAATTGAAAAAGGTTCCTTAAAAACATAAAATGAAAACATACGCAACTTTCATTTAATTTTGCTTTTGGCCTTTTTTTTTTTTTTTTTTTTTTTTTTTTTTTTTTTTTTGGTGCTTGGAAAACCAGGTCTTGATCATTTTCCATTAAGGTTCCCATGGAATTTTTTTTCTGGATCATTAGCTCTGATGTCCTGGACAGATTCCAGTGTGGATAATTGCATTCTGCTTCCATCTCTATCAGTTCTCCCTGAAGTTCCAGTTGGTTTTGGTATTCATGTTCACATCTGTCCTAAGCTACATTGTCCATTTGTAACATGCTTCTTATATGATTTCTCTTCTTTAGTCTAGGGTTATTTGCCAATAGTGGAACAAACCATGCCTTCCTCTCTTTGCTATAATACATTTTGTAATGTATTTTAGATAGTTTAAGGTACATCACATGTTGTCTTATAATTACATTTGAAGGAAAAAGCTTTTTTGTTTCCAAAGGGATATAAGAAATGCAAGTGTGTGTTTATAATTTTTCTTTTATATTTTTTAAACTTGATTGTTTCAGTTGTCTAAAAGTTTGTTGCTTCTCTTGAAGACACAGTCCTCATTGATACTATATTTTTTTATACCAGAGATTTTCTGTACATTGTGAAATATGTATGTGTCTGGATTTCTAACATGTACATTTGTTCATGCTTACAAAATCACCTGCCAAGATCCACACTGTTAACTGCATTTGGGGAGTGCTGTGTGCATCTATAGATGTTCACAATAAAATAACAATTCACCATTATGCAGAGATAAAAATAATTCATAGTGCATCATAAATCTCTGCCTTTTGCTATAGACTGGTGCTTGAATATGTTCAGCTTCACATTCTCCATTTTGTACTAACTGGTAGTAAAAAGAAAGTGTGAAGCAGGTAGTCAGGATTGCTAAGGTGCAGCAGCAGTTTCACTTTCTGTATTGAGAACTGATGCATGCATAATCACTTAATTAGAAAATGAGGAACTGTGATTCTTTCTGCTTCATGATTTCTAGCTGAAAAGCATGAATAGCGGTGCTTTATAATAAAGTGATATTTACTTATTATTATTTCATATTCATTGTCTACCGGTTGCTCTGTATGGAACTCGTTTTGTTCATAAATACTTTTCTGTTTCATCTGCTAGCATAAAGTGTTTCTGACACATCTATGGAGAATACAATATAAAAGCATGTACTGCTGCATAAAGTTCCAAGCATAATGTGGTCAATGTTACAAACCCAGATGCCTAATTTTTGTATGTAATGTCTTACATCTGCTTACACATCTGCTTTATCTATTGTCTTTTGATCTTTAACTAGCTGTTGCATTCATGTGATTTAGCAGTAGCAACCTGATAAACTCTACTGAGTGTTTATAGCTAATTGTCACAAAAAATGCGAAATGTCTGCCCTCTATCAAAATTGCCCTCCGTCAAGATTAATTCCTGGACTGGAAATGTCTAAGCTGTATGGCTACCATTGGATGTTTTCAAAATTTTGGTGAAATGTTCTGTTTATGATGTGGTCTGCTTTTTTTTCCCTTTCCCAATAAGATTCTGAACAGTTAAATGAAGAAATGAAAGATGGCCTCAGGCACCTTGCACAGACTTTGCAACTGTATTTGAAAACTGAGATCCAGGATGAGTCTCAATTGCCACCTGCAATTGACTTTTTCCAGATCTTCACAAAAGTAAGTGTTAAAATCTTCTTGCTTGACAACTCATAAATTATCTTTTCCTCATGTTCACAATTTATTTCTGAGTGGGAGTACAGTAGATGCATTCAGAATATGATATATGACAAAGTGAATTCGAGCTATTTTTTTGATTCAGTCAGTATTTAAGCAGAAGTATAACTTTAATATAATTGCAGCACTTCAAAATTAAAGCAGTAGCCAGAGGATATTTTTTTATTTTCCTTTTTTAAAATAATCATGTTAAAGTTGCTGGGTGAGGACAAAAAACCAAGAAAGTTCAAATATAATTGAGTCAATCAACCTAAATAATTTTTTCACAGTAATGAAGTGCATATAACATTACTCTTCAGCCTAGAATTTTTCTGTAAATTGAAATATATTTTCAGATATCCTCCCATCCCACTTTTTCATTTAGAGGCATATGATAATGTTTGTGATAGTACTGTATCCTACAACCTGCTTTATCCAGAAGTCTTGTGGATTATTTATTCTGAAAGATGACATATAAGGTATTTAAAATTAGATTCCACAGTATGTAAGATGTCTATTGTGCTGCTAACTAAATATTGTTGGCTTTTGGTGTAGATATTTTATTACTTTCAACTACTCATGAAGCTAAATTCAAACAATGCTAGCAGAAATATTTTCTATGAAGAGTACTCATAGTTTTAACTCCATTTAATTTTTTTTATTTCTAATTGATTGATTAAATTTTGCCATAAGATTTATCTTAACTTGTGCTTTGGTTGTTTTAGTAAGTGTATTCTTATGAAGTAAGCCAAAATATTTTTGGCTTACTTCATAAGAATACACTTGGAATACATTTTTTTCTTTTGATATAAATGAAAGAAAGAACCTCTTTGGGAGAAATATAATAAAAATGGTATAATTTTTTTTTTAACATTTAAAAGAAGTCTGAACCATTAAAAAACCTTTTTAAAAATGTTTTGCTGTGGACAGGAGTAGGAGCAATTGAATCCACTGTGTTGTTTTTCTTGATTTTTTTTTTTTTGTTGGTGATTAGACTGCTGTGATGTAAAGTTGCAACTTTACCTGAAAAATCATAGAGTCTGAAATAGACCCAGTCAAAAGGGTGCATAGATAAAATCCATTAAGTACTACCTCAGCTCCACTCAAGCTGTTGTATTGTCTTGTGCTGGCATGCTAGTTTGGCCTGAGCATTGTCAGATGCATTTCACATGAAACATGTTATCGGGTGTAGAGAATTTGTGCAGCTGAAGATAAAACTGATTATCAGAAGATGATCACTGCTTACTCTTTTTGAATGGACTTGCAGCTTGTAAGAAACTCTTTCCAAATGTTTTTGGCTTCAGTGTAACAAGAAGATGGAGAATGGCCATGTGGCTTTACAGACACAGTGTGATGATTACTAAACACATTGGAACAGTGGTTAAGAAAGTGCAGAAGGTTTTAAATTTTTTTGTTTACACACATGCACAAGCATGTACACATCTGAGCATCTCCTCTCCTCTCCCATGTATTTTACCAAGGTGGTGTAAGTGGCTATCAAGGGCAGAGTGAAAGCCATGACTTCCCAGCTCCATCTTGTTAATTGGAGAGCTGGGAATGCTCCTGTAAATGACAACATTTGCCCTACTGTAGCTTTGGTATCACAAAGATATGTTTAACTTGCTGTATTCCATATGTTGTTGACTGTGAATTTTTCCTCACCCTATTGAATGTAGTGCAAAGTGCTGAGTTTTTAAGTTGTTGGTTTTGGTTTGGGTTTTTTTTGTCCATTAAACTAGAGCTCATTTCATTCTTTTGCTGGTTTTGCTTAGTTTGTGTGATAGTCTGCTCTGGGAAAATGGAGAGCAAATTATATAGACCTGTCATGTTTACACATACTTGATATCATTAATACTAAAAAGAACTGGCAGAAGGGATAGGAGAATCTGACTGGACAGGTGAGTGGTTGAGAAAAAAGAGCAGTCAAGAGCCATATGCTTGTTCAGAGTTCAGTCAAACATAACTGTCAAGCTTTTTGTAAGACCTTGTTGTCACTCTAATTTCCATGTGGCATTTTACAGCTTTCCCAATTTGGTTGTCAAATGAGTTTGTTATGAGTGTGATTTTCTATTAAAATATTAATTTAATATTTCCCCATCCTTGGAGAGGTAGCAGCAGACATTTTCTGCCATTCCCATGGAATGTTCTTTGGAAGATAAGCTGGATGTCCGTGCAAATTTTTATTTATTTTTTTTAAACTGAATTTTTTTTTATTTTCAGCAGGTAAAATTTAAGACTTTGGAACTGTAAAGTCTCTGCTAAGACTTTTGCAGTCTCTTCTCTGTAGTATAACTCTAAAAAAGACCAGCTGTGATGACTTCCCTGTGTGGTCATAGAATAAAGAAACACACAGATACATTACTTCAATATGTAATCTTGTTTTCCCAATCGCTTCTAACATTCCTTTCAAGTTCAGTAGGTGCTTATTCGAACATTGAACTTTTTTGGATCAGTTCTTTCGTTGCGTGCCACAAAAAGATCCAGTCAAAGGTCATTTTTTTCTTCTGTTTGATGCTGAATTCTCAAGAAGGAAAATAAACAGACTGCCAGACAAAAGAGAAAAATTATCCTGCAGTGAGGTGACTAGATTCCAGATGGTTCTTGGAAAATCTCCAACCTGATTTAGGTCAAAAGGGCTTCTCGGAAGCTCTTTAAAACAGTCTTCCTTCTCTGGTATCACTGCTCTTGTCTTTGTGAAAATTAATTATAGTTTTATTCACTTGCTTGTGATGCTTAATAGGCAGAGAATCCCCCTGAGTGCTCAGTTGTAGAAACTCCTCATTAAAATCAAAGAAAATTTTGCCATTTCTTTCCATGGGGGCAGAATTTCACCCCAATGTATTTTTAGTTTGTATGAGATCTCTGGAAAATGCCAGCTGTACTGGATGGGGAGGTGTTTCAGAAAGGTTATGTACCTTTCTTTCTGACAGTGTTGCCTTGTCCTTACTAGACAATTTGGTTTTGTGTCAACTGTCCTTTGAGCTGGAGTTGAATTTTCTTATTTTTGTTATCTGATCACTTTTTGCAAGCTTCAGTTTATTTAACGTGCCATTTATCAAGGTTGTGACTGTTTTAAAATTCTGATCCTCAGTATTAAACAGAATTATCTGCAGCTAATTATGTGGTAAGGCTTTAACTCCACTGAGACATTTTCTAATGTCAAGATAAATTTTTGACAGCGTGGTTTTATGGTTTAATGATGTTTCCATAACCTTGAGATAAAATCAGTCCTTGCTTTTTATTCTTCAGCTTTTACTTACATGTGTGAAGAGGTGGCCTGGAGTCCTTTGAGACATTTAATGGATGCAGGATAAAGAATTAAATTTTTGTATACATTTATGGTTCTTTTAATACTAGCAGACAGAACAATATGAACCTCTTTAAGACATTGAATAAACTCTGTACCTACCATAAACCTATGAGTGACAGGAATCAAGCCTAAGATGACTTCTTTTAGACTGAATATAGAATTGCAATTACTCATACTGTATCAGAATTGACTTTTTTTGCATTTTGAAATAGTTTGAAAATTTATTTTCCAACTAATGATAAATAAAGGAGATTCTGATGTGTGCTATTATGATGGCCATTTTGAAGGTCTCCTAATTTCAGGTCCTCACATTTATAATAGTAGTAAAATGTAGGCCACCTTTGCCTTAAATAGCAGTAAGATAAAATCCAGTGGCAATTAATGAACTGTTACAGGCAGTATTCTGGGGCAATTAAGTAAACTTAAAACAGAATGTTATTGGAAAGAAGTTTTCTAGAGGATGTTTTGATGGAAGTATTGATAAACCTTTTGGGAAAGAATACTGAATTGAAGAATTTAGGGAATCCCATATGATGCCATTTTGGGTTTCGCCTTTTTTTACCTTTTATATATCCTCTGTATTTTTGGCACATATATTTGTAGCACTGTAGCCTATTGTATTGGTGGCTAGTTTTGCCAGTAATTTTCCATGGCCGTTCCCTAAGCAGAAGGACAAAACAAATTCCAGAACTTCAAGCCCTGGGCGGTACAAGGCCCCAGTGCTATCTTGGTTCTTCCTGGGAACCAAGGCTGAGAACAACTCTTTGCTATATGTTTTCATGGGCAAAGTACAACTAGTGCTGAAGGGAGTGCTCCAGAGAAGGGGCTAGACCTGGGGGGGAAATTGAATCACCACTTGTCCTCCTAATTGCTGCTTTTTATCAATTATACAAATTTCCTAAAACCTATAAATATGTATTCATCCCTGTGGAGGTGGGCTTTTGTGGGTGTCTTTCCATAACTGCCCCTGAAGGCCTTCAAATAAAGATACTTTTTTATATTATCTCCTTACTAAAATTATCTCAAGTTTAATTTCCAAGTTGGGAAAAGACAACACAGATATGGTACGTACCTCTTGAAACAGCAGTCTCCATAATTCTTCTGTTGTGCAAAATTTCACTTCTGGACAGTATTTGAACCACATGTGGGATGATAGGGACTAGACAAAGAATTTTTAGCTTTATGAAATTTTCAATCTTTTCTGCAGTTCCAATCCTGACACCTTTTTGTTATGAACAGATTCTGCTTTGAAAGTACGTGTGCTTGCTTTCTTTTAGTTAACTGGAGAGATCACACACCTGTATATGTGGGAGGTGAGCAGTCCTCTTAATGCAGGTGGTAGATGTGCTGCTCACCACTGTCTTCTCAGGTGTTGTTGGACCCTTTAGAATTGACACAGATCAAAGAGTAAAAACACGTCTGCCTGACTGTAGAGCTGTAAGTCTAGGATAGTGCAAAAAGAAGTATCTGCATGTATTAGAAACATGTGTGTAATTTTTATATGTCAGGTTATTTTTGTCTCACTTTTTTGAGGTTTGTGAAATTGATATTAAAAAAGAGATGCAAGTTTGATGCTGTAGGCCAGTCTCTGTGCCCACAAAAAGTTTTACCAGGAGGCCAGTTGTCTGTTTAGGCTGTTGGTGTAGTTGGATTT